CAAATAAATTAATAAATACACATACATAAGGTAAGATTTGTAGCATTTTTTAAAATATTATCTATTTTTAATGTAATTCTTGCAATTTCTGAATTCAATAATGACTCAGATAAAGTTGTTCTATGTGGTGGATTGTAGCCATAACAAAGAGATTTGGTAAAGTCAATAAAAAATGGTGAATCTGCTGCTACGAATGGTATCCCAGAACAAACAAACCACCAAATCAAAGCTTGATTTACACATTTTATTTTAGCATCATCAATTCCATCTGAGTCAAGATAAGTGTTAATTTTTTTTTGATTATTCTTAGATTTGATTTTTTTATTTGGATGTGTTGTAGTTGTTGATATTGGAGTAGATGTAGTTTCAGTATCCTCAATCTCCTCCTCACTAATCATATGTAAATATTCAATACATATTTCTCTTGGTATTCTAGCTTTGCAATGAAGTGCTAAATGTGATTTTAAAGCTTGTGGTTTTCCTTGTTTCCATGAAGTTGAGCAGAATGTACAAACAGCACCTTTGTGTGTTCTATGATTATCATCAATAGAAGTAAAGTATTGCCAAACTTTATCTTTTGGATGACCATTAATATTAATAATTGTATTATTGTGACTGTCTGAAATTTGATAAAATTCATTGTCATTATTAGGCATATGACTTCCTTGATTGTTTTCTGCAACACTATTGTTACCAAATTTGAACAAATAAATTAATAAATATAATATATTCCAATGAATCAAATTAGTGATAATATATATAACAAATACCTTGCTAGTTTGGAATTTGATGAATTTGACATAATTCTTAGTAATAAATATTCGTGATAAAATTACATTAGGTGTAATTCAACAAAAAAAAAACCAAACTTCAATTTAAATATAAATTTATCACTAATGCAATAAATAAATGAATTATTATTATTAATTATAAATGTAATTCAACACAAGAGAAAGAAAATGTAAAAGAAAGCTCACAGCAAAAGAAAAAAATTTTTTTTTTATTATTACACAACTGATCAAATTTAGAACACATGACTTTTATTTGGGATTTGGGATTTGAACATTTTGGGATTTGGGACTATTTGGGATCATTTGGACATTTGGGATTTGGGATTTGGAACAGCTTTGGGATTTGGGACATTTTTGACAATTAGGATTTTTGAGAGTAAAAGTCCCAAATAGTTTTAACCTATTTGGGATTTGGGATTTGGGACTGAGTAGTACTTTGGGCAGCAAGTATAGGCTAAACATAGTAAATTCAGTAAACTTGTGCAGCTTTAAAGCTCAAATTCTCCACAACAACATGACATATCAATGAGATGAAATCATGATTTTGCAGAGGAAGGCCTTGGCTTCAAATACACGATTTGTTTTGGGGTGTTGCATTTCCATTTTTGGAGAATTTGAAAATCTATACAACCAATAAAAAGTTGTGAGACTAAGTGACTTGCATTATATTTTTTTGCTTTTTTGCAGAATTCTTGTTATAGTTGATTCATTGTAACATTCCATTTTTGTTCAATCCAATTGACATATTCTTTTCTGGTCTTTGTATTGTTTTGAGTATATAAACAAATTTCATATTTTTGGGAATCGGATAAAGTTACTTTACTTTTTGGTGGCATTTTATTTTAAAAGTAATAATAGTTATTTGCAAATAATTAATTACAGAGTATAAAAATGTTTAAATAATAAATGATGGTAAAAGATTTTTATTTATTAAAGTTAGTGATAAGTGTAAATGGATTTGTTTTTAAAACTTCTCATTCTTGTCTTGCCTTCTTATATATAATAATTTCGCCTATAAAAGTTTCATATCTGCATTCTTTGTCAATTAAAAAAGAAAGAATTAGTACACATTCATTTAATTCTTTATTAAAAAAATCTTTATCCTCTATTTAATTCTTAACAATTTTGCCTATAAGTTTCACTATCTGATAACCCCTCATATGGGCGGATTTGACTCATTTCAATAAGTAAATTATGTGATACCTTGATAAAAATGTTATGTAAACATGTGA